TACTATGGCTTTTATCTTAGCGGGATCCGCTCTAAGACCACGCTTCCCAATGAAGCACTCTAAAAAGGGAATCTCTTCTGCACCAAAGATGCACTTAGAGGCGTTGGCGTACAACTTATTTGTGCGCATGCACTCGATTACCGCTCGTAAATGGTCAATGTGATTGTCCACATCTGACCGACCGTTCATAGCACGACTATGGACAAAGATGTCATCTAAGTATGTCTGTGCATGACCTCTGTGAGGTCTGAACAATTGTGTCACAAGACGATTAATTGTAGCCGGGGCATTTGATATCCCTTTCGGCATCACAAGCCAATACCAGAGCTACCGCTTGGAGTGCTGACCACTGTCAGCGGAATATCGCTTTCTCGCATGAGAAGTTGGTAATAACCATCGACTAAGTCGAGTGCACTGTACATTGTACATCCCACCATATTGTTCTGAAAAACATCCTTCCTCGGAATTTGTGTCTGAGCCCCGATGGTGGCTGCATTAAGCTTATTGTAAGCATGAACAATGCGCCACTTCCCATTGGGCTTTTTGACACAGAAGGTCGGTGTGGTACGGGGAGATTTGCTCTCACGTACCATACCTGCCGCGTGCTTTGCACGAAAGAAGTCGTCAATGACGTCACACTGTTCCTTCGGTAAAGGCCACTGCCGTGTTACGCAGTATTTAGTTCCAGGAACCAAGTCAATTTCATGAATTACACCTCTATCGGGAGGTAAGACGGACGGTGGGTCGTGACACACCAGGCCCTAAACTCCTTTACCAAAGGATAGAACGGATCAAGAGGATCCTTAAGGATCGACGATCCAATACGGGCATCCAATGCCGCCTTTGTGTCCTCAAGGACAGACTCGTCCAATATCGAGGATAATTTCAACTCAATATCCGGTCGAATGACCACTAACTTTAATGATTCTCCTGCCTGTAAGGCTTGGCTAAATTCGCCGTCAGACATTTCGTCTAGTTCAAAGAGAGCATCCAAAGATGGAAGAGTCTCAAGACTAATGTTGCCATCAACATTTCCAGTCAACCCATAGACAAGTGTATATAGTGTATTATTACTATTATCACTTCGTGACTTCTTAGACGTGGGGCGCTTAACAGTTGTCACCCTACTCTGAGATTGTTTCCTCAAAGAAACCTTACGCTTAGTAGAGGCCAAGAAACTATGGTCCCCGTGGTTGCTATTCATCTTAGCACGCTCTAGACGAGAGCTCATGTCTTGAACGACATCTAGTGAAGTGTTACGTAACTCGAACACTTCACCCAGTGGGTCTACACGTACCACTTCACGTACAGCATTCGGGCCTAGCCCTGAACACTCTGGCTTCTCGCCAACAATGTCATTACCGACATTCAGTGAGGTGCCATCTCGGCCGCCCTCACTCGGTGGGATTTCACGTTCCACTTCACGTACATCAGAGGAATTACATTCTTTATGTCCCGCCCGTAGGCCAACCATGCTTGACGCATGCAGTGACTCATTATCACAGCGAGTATTACTCAACGGAGTATAAATACCCTCACATACGGTGAAAGAGCTCCACTCAATATAATGTCATTGACATTGGAGTTAATTAACTCTGACATACCAATGTCCAGCACATTGACATCTTCCGTCAATGGCTCGCGCCAAAAGCGCTCTTGTTGCCTAGCAAAGGTGGGTTCATGACTCTCCAAGACTCCACTAGGAACATTGCGCGTTGCGCCTAAGGTCTTAGACCTCCAATCGATCCATGGTTCATAGCGTTCAAGCCATGCCATGCCTAGGATGAGATCGTATCTCGAATCCAAGTCAAGGACGAGACAGCGTTCTGTGCTATCAAAGTCCAAAAACCTCACGCCCAAGTTCAACGGAACTTTAGGCACAGTAACGCGACTACCCGTCGCTAACCGAACAGTGATGGAATCACCATCGTGCGCTTTGAGCGCCTCAGCATATTGCTGACTCCTCTCAAGGGAACGGCGTCTAGCATAGTTGCATGACGTCCCAGAATCGATTTATATCGACCAGTGCTTCTCAAAGCCTTTAACTATCGCCTCAGCGACTAACAAGCCAGGCTTGTATCCACGCTCTGTGCTTGCTGGCACATAGCCCGGTGGGGCTACGCCCTGTTTCACTCTACCTCGTAGAGAAGAAACAGAACTCAGTTCTACCCCAGTAGGCCGCCCCGCGCCTACTGGGTGTCGACGTTTCCCTGTGCCATACCAAGTTTTTGGTTGAGGCTGGGGTTTCGACCCATAGGAGTCGTTCGTTGCTTACGCAAAGGACAAGTGGGACGCAGATGTTTAGTGCTTCCGCACATGTAACAGCGTTTCACTTCCTGTAGTTGCTCGGCAGAATGAAGCTCAGCTTCACCTTCATCTTCAGTGTTGCCGAGATCCATCGGTTCGGGCCTACAGTAAGCTGAGCTATTTGCTTAGGTTGCCCTCGCATAGCTTGGGTTGTACTCATTCCAACCAAGTCTGGCTGACTTAAAGTTTTGCTCAGCATTTTGAGCGATGCTAACAGCCTCGTCAAAAGTAGAGTGATGGACTCGAAACACCTCGGTCCTGGCAACGCCAGTGCGAAGACCTTCCATGAAGACAGTCTCATAGACTGTATCAGGGAGAGGGTCAGACTGCATAGCAGCCATCAGGGTTCTCAACTCCTAGACATAGTCCGTTAGCTCATTCTTACCCTGACAGGTAGACAAGAAGCGTGAGCGCACGCGATATGCCTGGTTAAGCGGCGAGAAAACTCGAAAAAGGTCCAACTTGAGCGAATCCCACGTGGGAAACGCCAAGTTGACCGACGTGCCACACGTCAAAGCCCACTCTCTCGCTCTACCATCGAGCTTAGAGATATCCAGCAGGACCCGCTGGTTCTCAAGTGAGATGAGACCAGAGTCCATGGCCATCTCAATCTCACGGATCCAGAGGGTAAGGTTTTCCCCCTTCTTCCAGGAGTAACATTTAACGTCCACCCGAAGGGGACGAGGCTTAGCCTCTTCTGGTGACATAGACACATAGCGTGTCGGCATAGCCGACGCTACATGGTTTTATACCTGGCCCAACAGGGCCGTTTCATACTGCATGAAGGCCTCGACTCGTGCATTGAGCCCATCGGGACCTTGTGTAGCTAGAAACTCCACGTACACAGGGCCTACGGCCGCGGTCAGCTTATCAATCGCGACTTTTTGGGCCTCAGAGTGGTGTGTGGATTGCTCCATCCTCACAGAGGATCAGTCGTAACGACTTAGGCGTAGATTGACTACGAGTGCTACCAAGTGTAGCGGAGCTAAACAGCTCCTTAAGTCAGAGGAAGACTTAACGCTCTTACGAGCAACTTTGGTTCTACGAACCCGACTCAGAGAGTCAACAAGCTCGAAGAGCTTACGGTCCCTGTTCCAGGGGGACCAAACGATTTAAAGAATCACAGCACAGAGTGCTCAAGAGTAGCTACCTTTACAGGCGTTGCTAGCTCTTCCGATCAAGACGCCTCGCAAGGCACGTGTCTTATGTTGATCAAAAGGGGAACTGAATTTTTATTTCTTTGATTAACCTAAAAGAACAACGTATTTAACCTGCCCTAAATAACCTCTTAAAAGATCTCGCAATCAATTGATGACAGACATCGGTCTTCAACAATTGATACACTCACTGTGTTCAAAAATTACTTTATAGGGTAACCCCCTCTCTTGTGTGCACCACACCTATCGTCGACTACCAGCCGACGTGTAACCCCGTTACAATGCGAGGCAAGGTCAGGAGTGAATGGGTCTGACCAAACAAGTGCTTCCTGTCCCACTGGTGTCCAACGGGTGGCCACCAAGTATTCGATAGTCACACGGTGACTTTCAGATAAGGGAGGGGTGATGTAACGGGGTAGCCCGTTACATGAGATTGTCATTAAAACAATCTGACAATAAAGAATATTACATTGAATATTATTTTCATAATATCACAAGACATGGTGATATTGTTGGGATGACCGAAGGGTCTACTCATTGGTTGATATCGTGATGATATAAACCCACCAATCGCTGCTAGACGCGCGCAATAGGTGGTGAGTAGACGTCATCATACATATAGTTACATTCGTAAAATTAAGTCAGGACAATAGAGATTCAAGAAGTTATAGGACTTACTTATATCAATACAGTTTTACTTTTACCAGAGACTAGTCTGACTACTTTGTCTCCTTTCCTTCCTCTGTGTTTCCTTAAAACACCTAGCAGGGCACTGTCGGCCACTGTCGACAGTGGAAGTATACTCCGTACTGGTCATCCAGTACGTAGTCAACAGTGCCCCGTTACAAATAACATCAACGCGTGGCGCCTACATGTTGAACTGAAAAGACGTGAACGAACTTGGTAGCAAGATACAATTAAGTACACCATATGTTTGCTGTGCTCGTATTCTCATCGTTCGGCCTACCTTCCCACGACTTTCCAGTAGTCGCTCACGAGTGTTTGGGACACGCGGTTTGCTTTCTTTATTATTTGGTCGCTCGCATACTTTGTAGTCACTTGGTCTTCACCTCCGAGTTGCCTTATTGCGTTCCGCTCTACCGTATTCGACGAAAGATGCCTTGGTCGATCCATGTCGGGTAGCTCAGCCTACCGTTGAACAACAGTGCGATGAAACTTATTTTCTTTGCCGCATGACGGTAAAACACGAACTGCATTTTGTGTTGTTTCGAGCGACTGATACCGGCGTCCGTTGACCTGCTGCTGCCACCGACTGGCATTCCAGCAACAAAAATAGCGTCACTGTCCTTTTTCACCCCCCCCCCCCCTATCCGCTCCCGTCGGACTCTTAACATGGCTTCACCCTCTCGTTTCGTCGCACGCACTCACTCACCCGCACAGGCGCTTTCTTTTTTCCCACTGATTCGCAACCGAACGTCGACATCGTCGCACTAAGTACGAATCAAACCTCGTGCGGGCACACCGACTGCTACCAATTGACTCTCATCGCACATCTTCGAGACGCGAATGGGCGAAATGAGCTCAAGATACGGCCGCAGGACGACGACACGAACGAGCCGCTCGCTCCTGTCGTGCGTGGCGCTCGGCGTCTCGACAGCGGCCGCCGCAGTCGAAGTGAGTGTCTGTCACGACGCGACGTACGCACTCGCAGTCGACGTCGCGTCGCTGTGCGCGGGGGCCGGCGCCGAACCCCATGGGAGGCACTGCCCGAAAGCGGGCGACGTGGCGGTCAACGACTGTCTCTCGACGCTGCCGTCGTGGACGGACGGGCAGTGCGTCGCCCCGGAGGACGCCGTGTGTCAAGTGGTGCAACAGGACACGTGGGGCTGCGTGCTGCCATCCGTGGGCTGCAACAAGACGGCGGTTGAGTCGGTGCAGGAGCACTTGTGCGAGTCGTGGGACTTTAGCAGCGACGGGTCGAGCGACGACATGGAGGTGGGGGGCAGTCACTCGAGCGAGGGAGACGAGAGCTGGTTCGTCAAGACGACAGAGCTGCGGGAGCTGTTTGACTGCGGGAATCGACCGACGCCAGCACCTACGACGAGGGCACGCAAGCCGAAAGGCGACAGGACGAGAGCTGACTCGAAGACTCAGACGACAACGTCTGGACCGGAAGATGGCTCCGACGCGGAAGAAGAGACTGAGACTGAGGCAGAGGCAAAGGTCGTGATGGACCGAAACGGGTTGGCGGTTGTGATGGATACAAAAGTGCCGGGGGCGTCCAACAAGACGGAGGCAAACGCGCGGAATCATACGACAACCTCTGGATCGGAAGATGGACCCGAAGCGAAAGAAGAGACTGTGGCAGAGGTCGCGATGGATCGAGAGCAAGTGAAGACTGAGACAGATACAAAAGTGCCGACAACGACTGACAAGACGGAGGCAAACGCGCAGAATCAGACGACAACCTCTGGATCGGAAGATGGGCCCAAAGCGAAAGAAGAGACTGTGGCAGAGGTCGTGATGGATCGAGAGCAAGTGAAGACTGAGACAGATACAAAAGTGCCGACAACGACTGAAAAGACGGAGGCAAACGCGCAGAATCAGACGACAACCTCTGGATCGGAAGATGGGCCCGAAGCGAAAGAAGAGACTGTGGCAGAGGTCGTGATGGATCGAGAGCAAGTGAAGACTGAGACAGATACAAAAGTGCCGACAACGACTGAAAAGACGGAGGCAAACGCGCAGAATCAGACGACAACCTCTGGATCGGAAGATGGGCCCGAAGCGAAAGAAGAGACTGTGGCAGAGGTCGTGATGGATCGAGAGCAAGTGAAGACTGAGACAGATACAAAAGTGCCGACAACGACTGACAAGACGGAGGCAAACGCGCAGAATCAGACGACAACCTCTGGATCGGAAGATGGGCCCGAAGCGAAAGAAGAGACTGTGGCAGAGGTCGTGATGGATCGAGAGCAAGTGAAGACTGAGACAGATACAAAAGTGCCGACAACGACTGAAAAGACGGAGGCAAACGCGCAGAATCAGACGACAACCTCTGGATCGGAAGATGGGCCCAAAGCGAAAGAAGAGACTGTGGCAGAGGTCGTGATGGATCGAGAGCAAGTGAAGACTGAGACAGATACAAAAGTGCCGACAACGACTGAAAAGACGGAGGCAAACGCGCAGAATCAGACGACAACGTCTGGATTGGAGGACGGCTCCGAAGCGAAAGAAGAGACTGAGGCGGAGGTGGTGACGAATCTTCATGTGGTGACATCAATAAACAAGACAGAGACAAATTCGTGGAATCATACGACGACGTCTGGATCGCAGGACGGGCCCGAAGCGGAAGAAGAGATAGAAGCGGAGGTGCCAAAGCAAGAGGGGACGGATCGAGAGCAATTGAAGACCGAGACAGATGTAAAAGTGCCGGGGGCGATGAACTCGATATCACAAGCGGTGAATAAAACCACGGTGACGCATATTTTGGCGTCGGTGGTGAACACGACGGCAGCGTCTATTCCGATACCAGTGGATCTGGAAACGAAAGGTTCGCCAAGTGACGATGACGTCCGACAAGAAGAACACGATGAATTGGAGGAAGCTGGGGAAGAAGGGAGCGCGGCCGGACACTTGACAACAGTAACGTTTGCGGCTGATGCCCCTGTGAGCTTTGGGGGACTGAGCGATGAGGCACTGGCAGCGATTGCAGCGGCGGTGGCCTTCGCTGCTGTTGTTGCGACTATTGTCGCGGTGGTTTACGCAAGGAAGAGACGCCGGCTGGAAGATGTAGAAGGAGAAGAGGAAGGAGAGGTGGACGTGGAAGACGTTGCGGACGAGACTGTAGGAGTTGACGACGGCGGCGAAAATGACGGGACCGAAGGCGGAGACGGGAGGAACGAGAATTGCGAGGGTGAAGGCAAGGACGATGGCAATGAGAAGACCGAGAGTGAAGTAAAAAACGATGACAGTGAGACGCGTGCATTCTCTCCGCTTGTCCCGCCGACGCCTGCGGTGATGACGGGTAGATCTGCAACGACGCCTCCATTTGCTGGTGCAAATGCGGACGCAGCAATGACGCCGGCAGCAGCAACATGTGCGGCGGTAGACACAACTGAGAACGTGTCTACATCGCCGTCCGACAGCTCATTCGAGGACAACCGTTGCGCGAGCGAGGACGACGACGACGAAGGTGCATTGGGAAGCTCGTCTGATACGATGGAGGTTGTTGTCACGGACGCTTGATCTGACGACATTCGACTTGTGTACGTTTCCTTGACGAACAAGCCAAAGCCGTAACAACCAGGTTGGGAATGGGTGAAATGTAGGACGGCCCATTCTTCGATGTAATAAAGCGTCAATGTTTGTCGATGTCCGTTGCGTAGAGTGGAAATGGGTCTGCAAAGGTTGCCTGGGTGAGGAATCGGAGACAGACAACAGTACACGACGGCTGATGGGACCACGTCTAAACGTCGCATCGGCAATCACAGCTGCGATATAATTACCCACTGCGTAACGCCTGCGAGAAGCTCTTCACGTCCTTGGACTTTGGTTTTACGGTCCAAAAGCCTGCGCGATAATGCAATGTTGTATCACTGTGATTCGCATGGTACTGGTTCTAGTTGCGGTCCGACTTAGCGGAAGGAATCGACTATGCTACAACATCAGGCCACAAGACTATCGTGTCTACAGATTCAAGTAGCTACCTTACGTTAATCACTGCGAGAATCCATCATGTGTTCACTCGTCTTTGCTCTCATTTATCAGTGTGGTAGATATATATCTCCGAGTAGGCAATGGTACGACAAGTAGCCTATAAGTCGCGTGTGACACGAAAAGTATTTCACGCTCTCAACCGTCGCGCTTGCTCATTAAATCCAGCATAACTGAGAACGCTTACGCGATGATGAACCCCATCACGCCAAGTAGGTAACGGGGTTACACGTCGACTGGTAGTAGACAATAGGTGTGGTACACACAAGGGATGGGATCCCCTTTAAAGTAATATTAGAACACAAATAGTAATTGTTGAAGACTGATGTCTGTCATCAATTGATTACGAGATCTTTTTTCATAGGTTTACTAAGGACATATGTGAGTAGGTTATTTACTTTGTTCTACGGTGTTCTTTTAGGTTAAAAGAAGAAATAAAATTCAGTTCCCATTTTGATCAACAAAAGACACGTGCCTCTCTGAGGCATCTTGTGATCGTAAGGACGTAGCAACGCCTTGCTAAGGCAGCTACTCCTTGTGCACTTAGTGCGATTGATTCTTTGAATCGTTTGGTCCCCCTGGAACAGGGACCGTAAGCTCTTTGAGCTTGGTGACTCTTTGAGTCGGTTTCTTTGAACCACCTTTTAGCTCTCGGAGCTGTTGACTCTCTGAGTCGGGTTCGTAGAACCAAAGTTGCTCGTAAGAGCGTTAAGTCTTCCTCTGACTTAAGGAGCTGTTTAGCTCCGCTACACTTGGTAGCACTTGTAGTCAATCTACACCTGAGTCGGTAACGACTGGTTCTCTGTGAGGATGGAGCAATCCACACCCCTCTCTGAGGCTCAAAAGGTCGCGCTTGAGAAGCTGACCGCGGCCGTAGGCCCTGTGTACGTGGAGTTTCTAGCTACACAAGGTCCCGATGGGCTCAATGCACGAGTCGAGGCCTTCATGCAGTATGAAACGGCCCTGTTGGGCCAGGTATAAAACCAAGTAGCGTCGGCTATGAAAACACGCTACGTGGCGATGCCACCAGAAGAGGCTAAGCCTCGTCCCCTTAGGGTGGACGTTAAACATTGCTCCGGGAAGGAGGGAAAAACCTGACCCTTTGGATCCGTGAGATTGAGATGGCCATGAGCTCTGGCCTTATCTCACTGAAGTATCAGCGGGTCTCGCTGGCCATCTCTAAGCTCGATGGTAGAGCAAGAGAGTGGGCTCTGACGTGTGACACGTCGGTCGTCTTGGCGTTTCCCACATGGGATTCGCTCAAGTTAGACCTTTTTCGAGTTTTCTCGCCGCTTAACCAGGCATATCGCGTGCGCTCACGCTTCTTGTCTACCTGTCAGGGTAAGAATGAGCTAACGAACTATGTCTAGAAGTTGAGAACTCTGATGGCTGCTATGCAGTCTGACCCTCTCCCTGATACAGTCTATGAGACTGTCTTCATGGAAGGTCTTCGTAATGGCGTTGCCAGGACCGAGGTGTTTCGGGTCCATCACTCTACTTTTGACGAGGCTGTTAGCATCGCTCAAAATGCTGAGCACAACTTCAAGTCGGCCAGACTTGGTTGGAATGGGTACAACCCAAGCTTTACGAGGGCGACCTTTGCGAGCATCTCGGCTTACTATAGGCCAGAACCGATGGATCTCTGCCATGCTGAAGATGAAGGTGAAGCTGAGCTTCATGTTGCAGAGCAACGACAGGAAGTGAAACGCTGTTACATGTGCGGAAGCACTAAACAATTGCGTCCCACTTGTCCTTTGCGTAAGCAACAATTGACTCCTATGGGTCGAAACCCCAGCCACAACAAAAACCTGGTATTGCACGGGGAAACGTCGACACCCAGTAGGCGCGGGGCGCCCTACTGGGGTAGAACTGAGTTCTGTTTCTTCTCTACGAGGTAGAGTGAAACAGGGCGTAGCCCCACAGAGCTCCGTGCCAGCAAGCACAGAGCGTGGATACAAGCCTGGCTTGTTAGTCGCTGAGGCGATAGTTAAAGGCTTTGAGAAGCACTGGTCGATATAAATCGATTCTGGGGCGTCATGCAACTATGCTAGACGCCGTTCCCTTGAGAGGAGTCAGCAATATGCTGAGGCGCTCAAAGCGCACGATGGTGATTCCATCACTGTTCGGTTAGCGACGGGTAGTCGCGTTACTGTGCCTAAAGTTCCGTTGAACTTGGGCGTGAGGTTTTTGGACTTTGATAGCACAGAACGCTGTCTCGTCCTTGACTTGGATTCGAGATACGATCTCATCCTAGGCATGGCATGGCTTGAACGCTATGAACCATGGATCGATTGGAGGTCTAAGACCTTAGGCGCAACGCGCAATGTTCCTAGTGGAGTCTTGGAGAGTCATGAACCCACCTTTGCTAGGCAACAAGAGCGCTTTTGGCGCGAGCCATTGACGGAAGATGTCAATGTGCTGGACATTGGTATGTCAGAGTTAATTAACTCCAATGTCAATGACATTATATTGAGTGGAGCTCTTTCACCGTATGTGAGGGTATTTATACTCCGTTGAGTAATACTCGCTGTGATAATGAGTCACTGCATGCGTCAAGCATGGTTGGCCTACGGGCGGGACATAAAGAATGTAATTCCTCTGATGTACGTGAAGTGGAACGTGAAATCCCACCGAGTGAGGGCGGCCGAGATGGCACCTCACTGAATGTCGGTAATGACATTGTTGGCGAGAAGCCAGAGTGTTCAGGGCTAGGCCCGAATGCTGTACGTGAAGTGGTACGTGTAGACCCACTGGGTGAAGTGTTCGAGTTACGTAACACTTCACTAGATGTCGTTCAAGACATGAGCTCTCGTCTAGAGCGTGCTAAGATGAATAGCAACCACGGGGACCATACTTTCTTGGCCTCTACTAAGCGTAAGGTTTCTTTGAGGAAACAATCTCAGCGTAGGGTGACAACTGTTAAGCACCCCACGTCTAAGAAGTCACGAAGTGATAATAGTAATAATACACTATATACACTTGTCTATGGGTTGACTGGAAATGTTGATGGCAACATTAGTCTTGAGACTCTTCCATCTTTGGATGCTCTCTTTGAGCTAGACGAAATGTCTGACGGCGAATTTAGCCAAGCCTTACAGGCAGGAGAATCATTCAAGTTAGTGGTCATTCGACCGGATATTGAGTTGAAATTATCCTCGATATTGGACGAGTCTGTCCTTGAGGACACAAAGGCGGCATTGGATGCCCGTATTGGATCGTCGATCCTTAAGGATCCTCTTGATCCGTTCTATCCTTTGGTAAAGGAGTTTAGGGCCTGGTGTGTCACGACCCACCGTCCGTCTTACCTCCCGATAGAGGTGTAATTCATGAAATTGACTTGGTTCCTGGAACTAAATACTGCGTAACACGGCAGTGGCCTTTACCGAAGGAACAGTGTGACGTCATTGACGACTTCTTTCGTGCAAAGCACGCGGCAGGTATGGTACGTGAGAGCAAATCTCCCCGTACCACACCGATCTTCTGTGTCAAAAAGCCCAATGGGAAGTGGCGCATTGTTCATGCTTACAATAAGCTTAATGCAGCCACCATCGGGGCTCAGACACAAATTCCGAGGAAGGATGTTTTTCAGAACAATATGGTGGGATGTACAATGTACAGTGCACTCGACTTAGTCGATGGTTATTACCAACTTCTCATGCGAGAAAGCGATATTCCGCTGACAGTGGTCAGCACTCCAAGCGGTAGCTCTGGTATTGGCTTGTAATGCCGAAAGGGATATCAAATGCCCCGGCTACAATTAATCGTCTTGTGACACAATTGTTCAGACCTCACAGAGGTCATGCACAGACATACTTAGATGACATCTTTGTCCATAGTCGTGCTATGAACGGTCGGTCAGATGTGGACAATCACATTGACCATTTACGAGCGGTAATCGAGTGCATGCGCACGAATAAGTTGTACGTCAACGAGTCTAAGTGCATCTTTGGTGCAGAAGAGATTCCCTTTTTAGAGTGCTTTATTGGGAAGCGTGGTCTTAGAGCGGATCCCGCTAAGGTAAAAGCCATTGTTGATTGGACGGTTCCAAAGAACCAAAAGGACTTGCGTAATTGGCTTGGCCTTGCAAATTACTTGCACAAGTACAGTGCGAATTACGCAGAAATGGCTAGGCCATTATCCAATCTCCTTAAAAGGATGTGGAATGGTGCTGGACTATACCTAGCATGATGCTTTTCAAGCAGTAAAGGAGAGTCTCCTTCATGCGTCAATCTTGTCTTTGCCTGATCCTGATCGATCTTTCAGTGTCGTCTGTGACGCATCTGACTTTGCCATCGGCAACGCTCTGTTACAAACAGATAATGATGGACGGGAACGCGTAATTGCGTTTGAGTATCGGCAGCTGAAGGCTGCAGAAAAGAATTATCCTGTTCATGACAAAGAGCTACTTGCAATGAAGTATGCTTTAGTTAAGTATAGAGTTCATCTTCTTGGCTTTAAGCCGTTTGTGATCGATACAGATCATGCGTCATTACGCACTGCGACCCAGTCGCCTCACCTCTCTAATAGAATGG